ACAGTAAGTTTATATTTATTTTCCAAATTTTGTTTACACATCTCTTTATTTGCTTTAGTCCCTTCAATCATGTCTAAAATTTTTCCTAGAAAAGAATATCTACAGTATGACTTTAATGCTCAGTCTTTGCCTTAAATAGTTTCACTTTTAACATGGTCTTTATGAAAACTCAGGAGTCACTGGATTTACAGTTTTATGGAGAAGTTTAAATTTATTAATATGAAATCATAAAATTACAGAATTCTCTTTATGAAGTAGATGCTAAAATGTACATTATTTCCCAAAAATATAAACCTAACATGAAAAAGTTTTATTGAATGGAGCCACAGTTTTAGCTACATTAATTAGTATAAAATGTCATTCATGCCAAAATGTATTTATTGGGCAGCTCCTCATTGTGCAATTGATTGCACCCAGTTCAACAAATATTCATGGAATGTTTATTTTGTGTTACCTTAATATATACTTATAAGAATGACTTTCTTTCTTCAAAAGGTTTTTGTGTACCAAATTCCATCTATTGATAAAAGAATTGCAACCAAGTAGCTATTTAGAATTATATGTCATTATTGCTACATCAGAAATACACCAGACAAACCTCTTACTTCCTTAATATCATTGGAGGATATCTTACATACCATAGGTGAACAAATATTTTGGACCATCTAGTAAATATTTTAGACTTTGTGGGTCATAAAGTCTCTTTTGCAACAACATAACTCTACTCTTTTACTGTGAAATATTTCATGGTTAATATAAAAATAGTAAATTTGCTGTGTCCCAATAAAACTTTATTTATGAAATAGACAATAGGCAGGACTTGGGCTGCAGTCCGTAGTTTACTTTCCCTCACTAGATAATATAAGCTTAAAGTATTTCAAACAACCATTTCTTAAACTTAATTTTTGAAAAAAATCTTTCTACTGCCTCTTATCAATTTGGAATACCGCTCCAAATTCTTCAAGAGGAGATTAAAGTAGCATGGTATCTTTTATCTTCATTAATTTAACAAAAATATTTTTACATCTGAAAAGGAATGTGTGTTGATAAACACAACTTCAGGATAAAGAATAATTCAGAATATTTTAAGTTCATATATATTATATTTTCCTTTATTGCTTCAAAGTTTCCAAAGATGAAAAAGGAAGCTTCAATCTCAAATTCCTGAACAAGATGAAAAATGACTCATAACTACATACTCTGCTATAAATATGAAAATAAAATCTGCAGCATGTAAAGTAACCTGTTATATAAATTTCCCCAGTATTATTTGTTTAAACTAAAGCAAATGAAATGTATACTTGTCATCCATGGAAAAAATATACTTGCTAATCTTTATAAACGCTGGGGGAAAAGTTCATAATAAAAGCACAGTCTGTAGTAATGCAAGAGATATTAGGTAGGATTTAAAAGCCATTAAGAGAGTATTTGTTTTTATTTAAAACACAATGAGAATCGAAAAACATTAGCAGGTTACACTATAGCATGTGTAGAGTTATTTTATATCATTTAAGACAATTGTGTTACATTTCCTCAGGTTTCAATCCCTTAATGGCAGATTTACTCTTTGTATATGAGTCCTCCCAGTTGAATTACCACAATTTACTCTCCATTCATCCTCTGGTAGTGTCCCAGGAAGACACACGTTTCTTCAACAGGAAGTAAATACTTGCACTTTCATTGCTTTACACCTCATTCTTTCCTACTGGTCATGGCCAGTTTTGTTTGCGTGACTCTATGCTCACTGTATTGTCACAACTGGCCTTATGCTCATATTGTTGTTTTCTCTCTATACTCAGGTAATCACTCTTGTAGAGAAGGGTGTATACTAGATACCAACCCACCCCCCAAATCCAATATTTGTCCTTCTCTGTCTTGCTTCCTTCCCTGGAAGTTCTATCCCTGTGCACTGCAATTCTAGGGTTTCCCTGCTAGCTGGCTTCCAGTTGGATTTAACTAATGAAAAGGACCAGCAACAGACTAGGATATGAATGAGACAGATCAGAAGGCTTTTTTTTCTCTGACTTCTATGTCTTTCATCTGTGTGTTTCCTGCAGTACTTGTAACCCTTCAGAACCTCATCTTACCAGCTGATTACTCCCACATTGTTCCAACAGTCACTGGGCTTCTGTAGCACAGTTTTCTCCCATTGCTTCTTTAATCCTAACAGGCACAAAGGCTTACTACTCTTGTCTAGCCTCTATTTACCTACCTTATGTTTGTTTCCTTTTTGCTGTCCTCACTCTATAGGTCTTCTCTTTAAAATCCCTTCACTTAAAATATCCGTCAGCTTTCTTTCTTGCTGGACCATGTTGTAAGAAATAATTTAGATCCTGAATGACTTTGTTTAGTTATTTCTGTTGTTTTTTTAACTCTCCCAGCTCCATATCTAATCTTTATAAAATTGGAATACATTTTCTAAAATAAGCATTGATTTCTTAAATTTGATGCTACAGACTAGTAATAAAAATATAAGCCTTCATATACATAGGACCTTTATAGAATTTGAAGTCTAGAGGATTACATGGTTCATATAATAATAATGTAGTATCTTTTTCAAAAATTTCCATGTAGTCTCTACTCCAAATATTTATTTTTGACCTTCATTAATGAGTGTTTTTAGATTTAGTCCTACACAACTTAATGCTCTTCTTAAATTGATTTCCATCACTGTTCTTCACTCTCTAAAAGTTTAAAATTTGACTGTTGCTTTTTCACCTTGAAATCTTCTTCCCCATATAAAAAGGAAACACTGGTAGTTAATAATGAGTTTATTGACAATAAATCTATAGCATAATTTATCCCAGAAGGATTGACTTCCCCTAATAGATTGCTGACTCACCTAGAATTTCACACCTAGGGAGCCACTTTCTTCAAAGTAATGAGCAATTATGACATTGTCACCAAACAATAGCATACTGTCTCCACAAATCTTAATATAAAATATTTTGCCTTTGGAAACATATCAAGGAAATTATTGAAACTCAAGTAGTTTTCCATTACTTAGTCTATAATGTTTGTTGAGTGCATTTATATAAATGTGGTTAAAAATGTAATACTAGATATTATTGCCTGGAAGCATGAGGAGATGATAATATCACTGATGTAAAAAAAATACAGTTCTTCACTAAAGTAGAATACTGTTTTTATTACAAATTACAGTTGTCATACTGAAGTTTAATTAAAATTTCCTCTAGAATCAAAAAGACTTCGCATCAAGGACTATATCGTATTGTAAAACCTAGGAGAAACCATTTCTTTTTTGAGTAATTTAATAGTTTGTCAACAATGTAATAGCTGCGTCTCACATGGAGAAAAACTGTGAAATCAAGTGTATTTTTTTCAAAATTCTTTCATCATTCTCCATTTTTACCATGGTACACTTTCAGTGGAATATATATCCCTGTCCCATTGGAAAATGGGATGTTAGAAAAATCCTGAATATGTTGGCAGTGTTTTCCTTATCTACTTGTGTTCATGCCTTTCACCATGAGAAAGGCCTGCCCCATATTGCTACTTCTACCTGAGAAAAACAGGGATCTGTTCTGAAAACACACCTGCTGTTCATAATCCACATTAACTCTTGAACTTGTGTATTAAAAAAAAAATTGCTAGTTTTTCTAAGCCATTGTAATTCTGGGATAGTTTGTTATATAGCATAGTCACATTAATAGTTGCATTATACAAACTCTTTAGCAAAGAAATAATCACAGGAATTCTGATAAATGAGACTTGCTGAAAGACAGTGGAACAGATTTGCATATCATTTAACAAATGCCAGTACAATCATATGTAACAACATTTTGGTCAACAATGAACCACATATAAGAAGGCCGCCCCATGATATTATAATACTGTAACTTTACTGTACCTATTCCATGTTTAGATACACAAATGTGTCCCATTGTGTTACAATTGCCTAAAGTATTCAGTACAGTAACATACTGTACAGGTTTGTAGCTTAGGAGCAAGGGGCTATACCATATAGCCTGGATGTATAGTAAGCCATGTCATATAGGTTTTTGTAAACACACTCTGTGAAATTTACAAAATGGCAAAATTACCTAAAGATGCATTTCTCAGAAAGTATCCCTAATATTAAGAGCATAACTGTATTTATGGATTGGTTTACACAAGAAACCATTAATTTCTACAATCTTCTCTGACCACTTGAGGAAAAGAAAATAAAAGAAAAAGCACAGATAATATTGGTATGCTTCTAACCTTGGATAAACTGTGTGTTTGGTGTGGTAAGGAAACAACTCTCGCTGCTTATATTACAATTTTTAAGAAGCTTCAAACAGTGTGATTTGTGTCCAGGATTCGCTTAGTACAATAGCCCTTTCAGAATGTGTTTTGTTTTGCTTGGTGTTTTTCTATAAAGCCGTTCATCTGCTTAAAGTGAAGACTTGGGACTGCTAGAATTCAAGTGATAGCCACTATGCTTCACTAAGAGAGTCCCTAAAGATATTACCACTTTCTTTCTCCTGAATAATTCACATAAAATGCTGCTAGGTACAGATGAGCAAGGCAGGTATCTTCAAAGGAAGGTGGTGACAGCATCTTGTCATGGGGCATTGCAACCAAGTGGGGTGAGGAGGAAGTCTGTGCAGGGTGGGAAATGGCAGCAGCTTGTCAAGGGTGCTGGAGCCTGAGCATGTTAAAATTATCTCTAGTGTTTCAAATAATTATTCAAGGTTATTCTCTACATCTGCATAGATTTTTTAAAACACTTTGTAAAGGGGCAGGCAAAATGTGTGTGTGTTTATGTGTGTGTTTAAATGGACTCATGTAGTTACATCAAATTACACTCTTTTCTGTATGTCAAACATAGTTGTCATTACTGTTTTTCAAAAAATAAATCTTCAACTAAAATATAATTTACAATTAATTCATGTAATCATTCTATGACTGTTTCTATTACCAAAAATTTGCATATAAAAGAAGCTCCCTCATGAAAAAGAATTTGCTATATTTCATTATTAAAATGAACACACATCTCCGCTCCTTCTAGGATCTCCTCCTGGTTGGCCCGCCTGCCTCCACTCCTGCCTCCACCATGTCCATCAGGGTGACCCAGAAGTCCTACAAGGTGTCCACCTCTGGCCCCCGGGCCTTCAGCAGCCGCTCCTACACGAGTGGGCCCGGTGCCCGCATCAGCTCCTCGAGCTTCTCCCGAGTGGGAAGCAGCAGCTTTCGGGGTGGCCTGGGCGGCGGCTATGGTGGGGTCAGCGGCATGGGAGGCATCACCACAGTCACGGTCAACCAGAGCCTGCTGAGTCCCCTTAACCTGGAGGTGGACCCCAACATCCAGGCCGTGCGCACCCAGGAGAAGGAGCAGATCAAGACCCTCAACAACAAGTTTGCCTCCTTCATAGACAAGGTACGGTTCCTGGAGCAGCAGAACAAGATGCTGGAGACCAAGTGGAGCCTCCTGCAGCAGCAGAAGGCGGCTCGGAGCAACATGGACAACATGTCCGAGAGTTACATCAACAACCTTAGGCGGCAGCTGGAGACTCTGGGCCAGGAGAAGCTGAAGCTGGAGGCAGAGCTTGGCAACATGCAGGGGCTGGTGGAGGACTTCAAGAACAAGTATGAGGATGAGATCAATAAACGTACAGAGATGGAGAATGAATTTGTCCTCATCAAGAAGGATGTGGATGAAGCTTACATGAACAAGGTAGAGCTGGAGTCTCGCCTGGAAGGGCTGACTGATGAGATCAACTTCCTCAGGCAGCTGTATGAAGAGGAGATCCGGGAGCTGCAGTCCCAGATCTCGGACACATCTGTGGTGCTGTCCATGGACAACAGCCGCTCCCTGGACATTGACAGCATCATTGCTGAGGTCAAGGCACAGTACAAGGAGATCGCCAACCGCAGCCGGGCTGAGGCTGAGAGCATGTACCAGATCAAGTATGAGGAGCTGCAGAGCCTGGCTGCGACGCACGGGGATGACCTGCGGTGCACCAAGACTGAGATCTCCGAGATGAACCGGAACATCAGCCGGCTTCAGGCTGAGATTGAGGGCCTCAAAGGCCAGAGGGCTTCCCTGGAGGCCGCCA